CTGATTTTGTTTACCTCTGTATTTCCAACACCTAAAACAAAGCCTAGTATATAGCAAGCTCTCAATATACACTTGTTAAATAACAAGAACACTTAAGATTTATGTTTTATATGATCATTTTAAAATCAATCAGTCTCAGAAGCAATATTCACATGCCCAGTTTCTGCTTTCAGTTGTCACTTGGTTACTTGCTTGCCTTTAAGAAGTCACTTTCTTGGAGCTCTCTTCTACATTCTGTGAATTCAGGGTACTAACACATGCTCTCCTATCTCACATGATCTTTAGTAAGACTCAGTTAATGGAAGTGAAAATGTGTTATGAAGTTATAAACCACCATATAAATGTCATTGTTTACTGTTTCAAGTATCTGGCAGAGTAAGTTAGGGCATACGTAAGTTTGCATACTAAGTCACTTCAGTCGTGTACAACTCTTTGTGACCCTATGAACTGTAGTCTGCCAGGCTTCTCTGTCCATGGGATTCTCCAGGCAAGAATACTGGAGTGGGTTGCCGTGCTCCACTCCAAGGGATACGTAAGTTTGAAGTGAAGCGTGATTGTCGCTCAGTCTTGTCCGACTCTTTGCGGTGATAAACTCAAATCTCTTCATTTTAACCTCACTGACTAATATGTTAAAAACCTTTTACATTTTCTTTAAATGTATTCAGTATTTACCTACAATTTGACTAATCTTTTTTCCCTGGTGGCTCAGATGGTAAAGAATCTGCCAACAATGCAGGCCGAGGTCAGGAAGATCCCCTGGAGAAGGAAATGACAACCCACTTCAGTATCCTTGCCTGGAAAATCCCATGGACAGAGGAGCCTGGCAGGCTACAGTCCATGGGGTTACAAACTGTTGGACATGACTAAGTGACTAACATACACATAATTTGACTAATCTTTTTAGTAGGAAAGCCTTGCAGCATCTATATTTTATTGATGTATGCTAAAATGTTACCACTAATTAACATATGTAGGCCAGAATCAGGATTTAACCCTCACTCTGTTACTATTCCCTGGTGGCTCAGATGGTAAAGAATCTGCCTGCAAAACAGCAGATCCAAGTTGGATCCATGAGTTGGGAAGATCCCCTGGAGACCGGAACAGCAACCCATTCCAGTATTCTTGCCTGGAGATTCCATGACAGAGGAACTTGACAGGTTACGAGGAACTTGACAGGTTACCCGCCGTAGGGTCATGAAGAGCTGGGCAAGACTGAAGCAACAGCCCGCACACATGCACTGGTAATATTAATGTGGTAGAGAAAAAAGAACAGGACTCGACATTATAAGATTTAGATTTCAATTTTAGCAAAATCATCTTCTAGCTGGGGCGCAAATTTTACATTTTAAAAATAGTTAATATTTACTGGGTATTTATCCGCCAGGCACCATTCAGAACACTTCACATGTTTTGACTCTCTTAATTCTCACAACAGCCCCAGGCTGTTGTTATGGTTGTTATCTATGAGGTAGACACTCTGCTCACTTTTCAGATAAGGAAAGCAAAACAGGGAGGTTAGACACAGGCCCAAGGCCCAAGGCTCCAGAGCAGGTGGAGACTGCACTGGGATTCAAACCCAGGTCCTTAGACACCAATATTCACAGCTCTAACTACCAGGCTGTACTAGGCACCCCAGGTGCCTCAATTTCCCTCTGAGGATAATAGTACTCCATAGGATACTTTGTGACAATGAAAGGATATAAAACATTCTGAAATACCTGACAAGGAGTACACAATTAATATTTAAAACAGAGACTTCCCCGTGATCTAATGGCTAAGACTCTGCACTCCCAATGCAGGGGGCCCAGGTTCAATCCCATGTCAGGGAACTAGATACCTGCATGCCGCATCTGCAGATTCCAAACACCACAACTAAAAACAAAACAAAACAGAAATGAACCCACATGCCTCAACACACACAGAAGATTCTGAATGTTGCAAATAAGACCTGGCACAGCCAAACATTTTTTTAAAATATTAAAAATAAAACTTTTTTCCCCAAATATTTTAAATAAAATATTCTCTTCCCTGTGACTTTTATTTACTTTCTAACCATTTCAAATTATAAATTATACTGTTCTGTTGGTCTTCTTTGTGGGGAGAGTGGCAAGTCAGTGTAAAAATTCATTAAAAATCAAACAAAGAAGAGCATAGGTGAGTGGGATCATTTCAAGTCTTAAGTATAAAGAACCAATGCAGAAAAGATCTTTACATAATATCCTTGAATACTAAAAAGACAAAGTTATGAAACATCTGAGAGTTAATACCAAAAGATCAATGGATTAAATGTTATCTAAATATATTTCAATTCAACAGAAACTTATGTAATCTCAATGGGAACGTTCTGATTCTGGCAGAGGTTTTCTAGCTTTCCTTTCTTGTTGAAAGGGCTTAAATTTGGATGTGTGTGGGCTAACTGTAGACTGATTATTTTTTCTAGTTAATAGTATTTACTTGTTTCACTGTTAAGAATTATACGAAAAAATTACAGTCTTTTTCCACCGTTAGCAATAATGAAGTTATCTTGGGTACAGCTTTCCAATTACACAAACACATTTCAAATGCCTTTCTAGCTAACCAGCTCTCAAAAAGTTAAACCTTAACTGCACAAGTAGATTTATAACTCTACTAAACCTTTTTATTTATGCTCATAAACTGCTAAACACACAGTATCTGCACTCCATCAACTATAATTTGTTAGCTCTAAGATTTTTTTTCTTCCTACTCTATACTAAAAATTCAAAGGACGAAAAAATTTATCCTCACTAGTACCAATCAGACACATTTTGGAGTATGGAATTAAAGATTTTTCAAAGACCTAAAAATGAGGAGAAAATGGACGAGGTCAAAGGAGTCTTGGGTTCTAGTCCTGCAAAAGTAGAATGAAGCAGCTGAATGGACAAAATTCCCACATGTAGTCTATGCAAATTGAAAAAAAGGAGAACAAGTAGATATTTCAGTCTTTTCCTGTTAAAAATAATATCCTCAATCCCAGGCCCCAAATCTTCTTTAATTAAAAGATTATTGGTCATAGAATGCTAAGCTAGATCTTAATTAGTAAATGTACTCCCTGTTCTTCTGTGGATTAGGACCTGAATGTTTTCAAAATGCCTAATTTAAGCGGTCAAACCATTTAAATCAGTGAGAGTTAATAATGAATAGGGCTGTCAGTAAGTTTCTCCTTTATTTCACACTAGTGGCAAAAAACTTCCTTCGGAATTGATGTTACACATTTTCACTGGATGAGCCATAACAGTAGGATGAATCCTGGTCCAACATTTAGGAGAAATGCAGGACACAGTGTTGCCTCCACACATCAGCTGGCTGTGTGACTGGTGACAAAAGTCATGTCACTGCCCCAGCTTCTGCTTCTTCATTTTGAGAAACGTGTCCTAGATGGTCTGTCCTTCATTGACCATTCAAACTCGATTCATCTACAGACTGAGCTGTTGAGGAATTCTGTATTCCAAATAGTTCTGTTTTGTTCTGGGTCTATCATGCTACTTCTGTAACTGCTACTCCCCATGAAGATACTGAAAGCATATGAAAGCATGCCAAGTTTGCGGTTTGAATTCTAAAGGTATTAAACGACTTAACATAGTGACTACTTCAAAATGACTGAGCGCTTAGGGTTTAAAAAAAAAAAAAGCCTCCAAGAAGATGGTTTCAGTTATAGTTTATAAATGCACCTCAAACCTCACATCAGTTTATCTTCTGGATACCTACTTTCTTGGTGATTAATTCTCCAAGTATTATTCCATTCCATCTTGAAATATGCTTATTTCACACAAGGTTTAACAGGGGCAAAACTGACACTGGGCCTTGATCATTGTGTCCCGCGCATCACTGGATCCTAAAGAGCCTCCGTGGCCTCTGCCCACTATTTGTACCAGCACCACTCCACTCACACAAGGGGTGGCCACCAAAAATGTCTCTAGATATTGCCCCTGATAACGTCCCAGAGGTGGGGGTGGAGGGAAACCCCAAAGTAGAAAACCACCGATTTAAAGAACAACGCTTCATTTTACACAGCTAACTCACTCCGTCAAGGTCTCCACAGCCCAAAACCACCTTAAGAAAAGTGGCTAGCCTAGGTTAGCAGGCTGACACTGCTTCTTGGCGGCGAAGGACCAGACCGAAGATCTTCAGAGGCCCTTCCCCGCCACAGCTTGATCAAGAATGTGGAAAGGCAAACACAAGCGTGGCCACGAACTCCATCAGCGACTACCTCTATTATCTTCACCGTGAGCTACGTGCATTCGAAAGGAAGCACACGCGTTTCTGAAATAAGCACGCTGTGAAAGGCAGGTGGAAACCATCAAGGGGCAGCAAGTCTCCGGGCGTTCCCATTTAAGACTGGGACAACCCTGGGCAGCTCCGGCCGGGCCTCCGGGTGCGGGGTGCGGGCGCCCAGCTCCCGCCACGCCCACCCGACGTCACCCGTTACACAACGCCCTCCACCACCCCCACCCACCCCGGCTTATGCAATTCTGCCTCCCGCGGCTTCCAATTGCCCCGGTGACTTTCGCGGGAGACCAAGGTATATACGTTGCACGCCCAGCCTCGGCTGGGGATCCTCTTCCCCGCCCCTGCAAGGCGTCTCCCCGCCGCGGACCCGGCCCGGGCGGCCAATTACCGGAAAGAGCGCGGCAGGAAGCGAGCCGACGCTCAGGCTCGCCCAACTCCCTCCCCATCCCGCGCTCGCGCGGCCTCGCCCGGCCACCCGCTCCGCGCCGCTCCGCTCGGGGCGCGCCCGCCACAGCGCCAGGCCGAGGCGGAGGGAACCCCGCGCCGCGTCACAGTCGGCTTGAGGGCGATCCCCATTGTGACCGAAGCACCTCGGGGCGCCGCCCCTTCCCACACACACCCCCCTCAAAACACACACCCCGGGACCCCGAGACGCAAGCCCTGGGCGGCAGCCGGCCTGGGGCGCAGACGAGCTTGGGGCCGCCCCGCGCGTTGGGGAAGGAAGGGTGCGGTCACGGGGCCCGCGCGCTCACCTGCTCGCAGCTCCTCGCAGGCGGCGGCCAGGGCCTCCCGGTAGCGCCCCTGGTGCAGCAGCTCTCCGAGCCGGCCGGCCGCCCGGGCTCTCTCCCGCTGGCCCGGGAACCACTTTTCGGTCAGGTGGTTAAGAACGACGCTGGTCCTGAAGCCGGAGGCGGCGGCAGCCGGAGGCGGCCGCGGGGAGGTCCCCAGGGCATCGGCGGCCGCGGCGGGCGGCAGCCGGTCCCGGCAGAGGCGGCAGCGCGCGCGGAGCTCTCTCCGCAGGCAGCGGCGGCAGTAGCTGTGGCCACAGGGCACAGTCACCGGCTCGCTGAGGAAGCCCCGGCAGCCCAGGCAGCTGAGCAGCCCGCCGGCGCTAACGCCGCGGTGGGCGCCCCCCGCCGGGCTCGCGCTCCAGCCCAAGCCGTGGCGAAGCCGGTAGTTGAACACTAGGCAGTCCACCAGGGTGCCGAGGCACTCGGGCCTGACCGGGGCCCCGCGGCGCAGCGCCGCTGCGTACGCCTCCAGCGCGCCCTTCAGGTGGCCGCCCAGCGCCAGCAGCTCGCCCCGGCGGAGCAGCAGCTCCCAGCGCTCCGACTCCGCGGCCGCGCGCTCCAGCCGGTCGCCGCCGCCGCCGCCCACTTCCCAGAACCGGCCCTGCCTCTGCGGCCGCGAGTCCACCTCCTGGCTCCCTCCCGGGGAGCTCCTCGCTACGGCCGGGGAAGACATGGCCCGCGGACGGCTGCTGTGCCGCCGCCCGCCGCCACGGTCCCGGAGCCTCCGGGGCGCGCGGCTCCGCACGCGGCCCGCGAGCAGGGGGGCGTGGCGCGCAGACACGGCGGGGCGGCGCGCGCCCGGGAAGCCCCGGGGGCGGGGCGCGGCGGGCGCGGGGCGGGGCCGGCTGCGCGGCGGCGCCCGGGACTCCCCCGCACGGCCCGCGGCCGGGTCCCGGAGGAGGCGACCGCCAGCCCCGCCCCTGCCGAAGCCCCTCCTGGCGGGAGACGTGAGGTCAGATGATCCCCGGCGGGGATCTAATTGGCTTCTCCGGAAAGAAGGGCCTGGCTTGTAACTGAACAAAGCACAGAGGCGCCCGATGCTCCATCCCCCACCTGATTGCTCCGCCGGGGCCCTCACCCCCACCGCCCCCCCAGTCATAGATTCTCCCCTAACCTCTGCATCGTTGGCACATCGCCGGGCAGCCGGCCTCCCTGGACTGAGGCTCAAATCGCCATCCCTGTCCCGACATAAACGCCCACCTAATTTCGGACCCGCCCCCCCCCCCCCGCCCCGTTCCTGGCTCCTGGGATCTTCCCAGTGTAGTTTACCACAGGTCAGGTGCTCATCTGCATGTTTACTCGTTTATACCCAACTTACAGAGGGACACGTAGAGGCCGAGGGCTCAGGGACGGGCACCGTCAGTGGGACGACTCTGTATTTCCCTAAAGTCTAGAGTAGGTCAACTTTAAGAACGAAATGTGGCTCAGATGGTAAAGAAATCTGCTTGCAATGCGGGAGACCTGGGTTCCATCCCTGGGTCCGGAAGAGCTCCCCTGGAGAAGGGCATGGCAACCCACTGCAGTATTCTTGCCTGGAGAATTCCATGGACAAAGCAGCCTGGTCGGCTGCAGCCCATGGGGTCACAAAGAGTCAGACACTGAGCAACTAACACACTACATACACACTACCTACACCTGACATGACTCCCTGAAGGGTGTAAGACAATTTTGCCTCGTGCCAAATTACCGCTGCTTTTCTAGTTTAAAACTCATCCCCCATCTCGAGGGAGGAAGCCCACAGGTTCCTCTCCACATTTCATTTACTACCGCACAACTGGCTAAGGCCTACATTAGGCATTTTTTAAAGAGAAAACGCCAGGATGAATATTTTTCACGGGGCAGTTACCGTATCACTGAAACCCAAGCAAGGACTGCAGTTTTGCCCACAGGAGAAGGAAAATGACTGGTTTTTGTATAATGGGTTATATTTCCTTGAAACTTGGTGGCAACCAGTTTAAAGCTCTCCGTTGAAAGTATTTATAGATTTGATTGTAGGGTACTAGATTGTTAGGGGCTTCCCTGGTGGCCCAGGCAGTAAAGAATCCACCTACAGGGTGGGAGACCTGGGTTGGATCCCTGGGTGGGCAAGATCCCCTGTAGGAGGGTATGGCAACCCACTCCAGTATTCTTGCCTGGAGAATCCCCATGGACAGAGGAGCCTCACAGGCTACAGTTCATTGGGTCACAAATAGTCGGACACTACTATGCTACTAAACACAACACACAGCATAGATTGTTAAAGCTGTCCTTTTTTCAAAGGTTAGAAACAATGGCCCAGAGAGGGAAAGCTATTTGCCAAAATCACACAGCTAAAAATATACCACGGTTTAAAATCATTTTACTCTTTCTGCAATTATTAGATCTTAAATAAAAATATTTCACATGAGATTTTCAAATCAGCTAAAGGGAACATTAACCTGAGTATGCTACGTCCAAACCTGACTAACGTTCCATCAGCATCCCTCTTTATACAGAACAGGCAGTTAGGCTCAAAACTGCTTTGAGTTACACGTATTTCTACTACACAACTAGCAAATCTCCCAACTTGAGAGTCAGAGATACACTGCCCCCAAGGCAACAAGGAAAAAGCCGAGGCTCCTGTTCCTATAGGGTGCAGAGTTCACTCATCATCCACACTGAACCTAAGCAAATTGCAGCTGAAACCCCAGTAGCAACTTCCAATCAATTGAGGTGGGGCGTATTGTGATTGATCCACAAGCACAACCTTGAATCTGAGTACTGCCATCTTTCAATACACTGAAGAATAACATTAGTCAGATACCCACAAACTCATCTGAAACTTGAAACGGTAAGTAGTAAAACAAATATCTATATGCCCATGGGCATTTACTTTTGTGATATATTCCTATCCTTAACAGCCACTTGCAGAATATACAACAGTAACTACTTAACACAGGGTGTTCATGATTACACAAAAAAGTGTAAGCTGATAAATATGCTTATATTTCTTATCGAATATAATTCAGGGTTAACTAGGGAATTTCCCCCCGAAGTAAAATATAATATTCAGAAAATAGTATGACACATCATTTGTCCTTTGGAATTTCTTTCCCCAATAAATGTGACAAATAGCCACATCTGATTCTGGTGTGAAATAAAATAGTACAGTTTTGATACTATGGGGGCGGGGGATGGGACTGTAGGAGGACTCTTGCTGTGTTCTCCTTGGCATTTGTGAATGGTTATAATTCGTGTTTGCTGGTTTATACATTTACATAACTGGTTCTCATTTATGTAACTTATTTATGTAAGAGGTTGTGCTGCCTCTGTGGCCTTTGCGTGCTGCACAGTTTCCCTCTGAATCAGGAAGTCTGGGGCAAAAACTATCACCGGCTCTAAGACAGGTTCTTGCCTGTCATTCTGTGCCCCCACGAGAGGGTATGTACTTTGATGTGGCTGCGTTTTCAATTCAGAGGAAAGAAAAATTTGTATCTTTCTTCATTCATTTAAAAAAAAAAAAAATTTTTGGACTTTGGTCTCTGACTCACCCAGCAGCCTGCCAGGGAAGAGAGGGAATCCTGTGTGTGTGTGGTGGATGGGGAGGGGGACGGGTAACCTCCAGACCAAGAGGAATAGGATGGGGTAAAACTCTCCTTTCTTTCCCTTCCAGCGTTACTTGCTTGTGCCTTTGCTAACAAAGTAGTAAAATGATGAGATTTGTATTTCATTTCAGTTTTTTTGTGTTGTCTTCTAAAATAGATCAGTTATGTAAGAGTAGGAAGAAAAGCATATCTGTTTCCTAATTTGGAAAATGCTTATCACCATCATTCCCTGCGTATCCCAGCCCTCCCCCGCCCCCACTGCGCCAGAAGGAGCCTTTTCCTGATATAGTTAGGTAAACTATTTAAGCATCACGTAACACAGTGCTTTTCTTGTGCACGAGTCAGCTGAAGATGTGTATCTGAACCTCCTTTTTTCCTTTGCTTTTTTTTTACTGTGGGTGAATTTACCATTTGTTTCTTCACATTCTTACCATTAAAAAAGAAGACAGAATTTAAGCTTTAAAGGGCCAAGCAAAATTATGTCCTCTCCCTGATTCATTTCAGTTAGTAACATTCTGGTCAATGCATTGAGAACAGTAAATTCTAAAATGAAATATAGTCAGTGGGTAGCCAACGGCATATTGATACGTAAGGCTCAGATGGAAGGGAGTTTAGAGGCCACCTGGCACACCCCTCGTTTTACAGCCATAAGGACACTGAGTCCCGAGCAGCTGCTCGTTTATAAAAGTCACATCAGAGAATCCAGGGATCCGGACCGCGTCTATGCCTCTGTACCAGGGAGGAGGTCCCCTGGCCCCGCTGAGCCTCATCTGCCACCTGTAAAATGCCAGAACTGGAACTCTCGTTCAGGTGCGTTCTGACTCTGGAGCAGAGTCCTAGGAGTTGGTTTGAACACAGTGAGAGGAGGCAGATGGTCTCCCAGGCACAGGAGCGCAGCAACGTGACACCTGATGAAAATGTAACAGCAGAAGGTGAAGGCTGAAAAGCAGAAAGGAGGGATGAGAAACACACTTGATGCGTGCACACCCAGCCGTGTCCTGAGGAGGGAGAACCAGCCCTGGGACGTAAGCGTTTTCAGTTGCCGGACAGAGTTCCCCCACCACGCGCACCTCCTCGCCCCTTCTAACAGTCTCTGAGAGGCTGGAGGAAAGCCTGGGGGAGGGGAGCTGGTTACATAACTTGGGCATTTGTGGGGAAGTTTATATAAGATGCTAAAAATACAGTATATGATTGCAGTAATGGTGTTCTAAGTGAAGAGCCCTAATGAGGACAGACTCAGTAGGTTAAACAGAGGTGATGGGAAGTAGATGCCTAGACCCAGTTGCCTGCAATGACTATTGTCTCCCCAAGTTTATTGCCCAGTATTAAAATAATGTTATCCCTGGTAGCTCAGTATGTAAAGAATCTGCCTGCAGTGCAGGAGACCCTGCTTCGATCGCTGGGTCAGGAAGATCCCCTGGAGCGGGAAATGGCAGCCCACTCCAGTATTCTTGCCTAGGAAATCCCATGGACAGAAGGGCCTGGTGGGCTACAGTCCATGGTCACAAAGAGTCGGACACGACTCAGTGACTAAATCACCATCCCCGTGGGGAACACAGTCAAAGGACTCAAGGGCACCATCCTTAATTCTTTTCTAATACTCTGAAGAACATAGAAATGCTAAGGATATAACCCATATTCTATTTTACTGGTAGTCCAATTGATAAAATGAATGCATTTCCCAGTATCGAGCTGTTAAATAGAAATAGACATAGGAATAAATTCCACACATTATTTAACAAGCTCTGAGAATTAACTACATACAAATCTCCTGGTATTATCTATGCTCCTTCCTTCTCCTCTCGCCCCTCACCTTAGCACTTACTGTCACCTGAAATTATATATATATACACAGAGAGAAAGAGTGTGTATGTCTGTCCTCCAAAATGTAAGCTCCTTGAGAACTGGGATTTCTGCCTATCTTGTTCACTGATGTGTCTCAAGCATTCAGGGCATTAGATAATAACTGCTGAATGAGTCACACACAAATTAATGCTATCACCTCATGCTCTTCACCCTAATCAGAGATAAAAAGACATTACCATTAACACACCAGGACAATTTATATTCTTCATTTCTCGTCTTTCGTACATCCAATCAGGCCTGCCAG